TTTTTACTTTGAAATCTTGAGTCTCTGGTCAAGGGTCGAAGTGTCTCTTTCCTTTCTTCACTCAAATGTTCTTATCCAAGGAGGAGGACCACTTCAGATTGATTTAATCCTGAATCTCCCTAAACTTCCCATCTGTGGCTTCATGAACTGAGGGGAAACACACTGTTCATAAGGTCAGTCTGAAATCTGGCTCATTTCTCCAAGCAGCCACACTCCACTCCTGGGTGCGTCCCAAGTCTCCATCCTGATAAGCCCTCTCTTGCCTCTATGATACGTCCTGAGAACTCTTTTTCCATGATGGGGGTCAACAGACCTGCAAACTTCTTTTCTTTCTGAACCCACCAAGATCTCTAAGAGGTTAAGGAGAACTCCTTCTTTACTAAGTTTGAGGAATGTTTATTTTTAAAACCAATATAAGGGCCAGCCTGATAGCTCAGTGGACTAAAGTGCCTGCTTAGGCAGAGCAGTGGCCAGGTTTCATCCCTGGCGTGCTGTGCTAGCCCCACCCATGGGGCACGCTGAGATGGCAATTGAGACTGGGCATGGTGGTGTGCGCCTCCAAGTGCTTGGGAGGCTGAAAACAGGAGAATCACTACGAGTCCAATCTACGTAGTGAGGCCTTGTAGAACCTGCACTAAATATAGAGGAAAAAAAATATATAAGAGCTTTTATTTGCTAAAGATGCGAATTTTTACATTATTGGGGAATGGGGTGGTATTGGAGATGGACCTGGGGCCTCATACATGCTAGTCAAGAATTCTATCAGAGAACCACAGTACCAGCTCAACCCCATTGCATGCATCTGCATCATACTTTTGTTTATGCGCTGCCTAGTAATCACAGTCTAGCAATTTAGTAGAGGATGAAAAGCCAATGCTTTAATAAGCATAGGAGTTTATATCCAAATATACAATGATCCACATGCACCTGGAACTCTCTGCATCATAGCACAAACACTAGAGGCTGTATTTACTTTCCCCCTCAGTACTCAGGATGACACTTAGGACCTCTGCACTGAGCTATCTCCCTAGCCCCCTTTTTTTTTAGTTTTGATTTTTATTTTATAACAGTCTCACTAAGTCACCAAGTTGTAGGCTGGGCTCAAACTTACAATCTTCATATTAGCCTTAATTTTATGTCTTCAGAAGAAATAAACATTAGCAGTTGCTATATCTTCCAATTTAAGTGAATTTGCCTAAGTGTTGTCTGAAGGTATAAAATAAATAGATAGGGGCTGGGGAGATGGCTCAGTAGAATAAGCGCTTCCCTGGCAAGCGCAAGGGCCTGAGTTCAATCCCTGGTCCCGCGGCTTTCTTTTTTCTTTTCTTTTCTTTTTCTTTTTCTTTTTTTTTTTTTTTTTCAGAACCAGGGATTGAACTCAGGCCCTTGTGCTTGCCAGGGAAGTGCTTATTCTATTGAGCCATCTCCCCGGCCCCTCAGTTTTCTTATGCATAAAATAGGAACAGTGATATTCTACCATATTAAAGAACTAGTAGTGAGAAGCAAATATCTGTAAAAAATACAAGTCACTGCATTAGTGTCAGTAACAAGGTCTAAGGATCATTAATTGAGAACCACATCTTGAAAGGCTCAATATCATCAACTTACTTTTGAAAGGGCACTATTCCTTTATGCTACTTCTAAGCTGTCACAAAGTTTGTTTGTTTGTTTGTTTTTAATGTAAGACAAGTGACACTGTGTTTCTCAGAGATAGCAGTACACTACACTTAAGAGATGCTGCTGTTCCCGAGTATCTGCTAGCAGAAGGCACCAGAAATACTTTCAGGAAAGAAGAAAGAACTAAAGCAGCTAAAGACATTGTGTGGTAATGTGAATTCCTTTTACTTTTACATTGGGTTTAACGTGGAGAATTGTCAACTCCTGTACTCTTACGTGTCTCTATGTTGAGAACTTAAAATGCTTTTAGGGTATATATCCTTTGGAGCTGTCCAACAGTTCTGGATCAAAATCTAAAAAGAACTTGTAGGTATGAAAGAGTCACTAATGGTTTTAACCCTTGGAGACTTAAATGGATTTGTTTGTCAATGTTTTTCCATTAATGAAGATTACTTAGCCAGGTCCCTAATGACACTTGTTTATAACAGACCTCCCAGGAAGCAGAAATCTACACAATGTAACTGAAGTAACCACTAATAAAGTTACCCTCTCTGGAGGTCTAAAAGTCAGTAAGCACAATCTCCATAACTGAGGATTTAGCTACCTACCAGATAAAAACTGTTAGAAAAAAATGTACCTGTACAGAACGGGGATAGACTTACTCTCACTGTTCTCTAAAGACTATTGTATAACAACTACTTACAGTGTACTACCTATTACAAATAATCTAGGGCTGACTGAAAGTACATGGGAAGATGTACAGGTTATATGCAAACACTGTGCCAGTTTACGTAAGGGACGTGAGTATGGAGGCCTCTGCTCTCCAAGAGGAGAGGGTGTTCTGAAACCAACTGCCTGCAGATGCTGAGGACAAGAACACTGTACAGGGAAAATGTAAGGTTTTCCTAGTATCCTACAGGAAATAAGCTCCATGCTGTATCAATAACTATGCAGGCAATTTCTCAACTAAAATGTACATGAAGTACAAGAAATTCTATCTTAACACACCTACTTTGATAAGTGACAGTACAACTAAAATTCTTAAAGGAATAGTCTCAAGACTGGCAATCTACAGATGTAGGACGGATTCTCCCAACTAAACAAACAGCAGCTGACTTCCTCTCCTGAATCCCTATCAGGAGTGTGTTAAACAACACATTCTTTCTAATACTTGCTTTTTCTCATTAAACTTTCCTATTAGCATATAATAGGATTTTTCTCTTTTTACTGTATCATAGTATTCCATTATTTAAATATGTCATAGTTTCTGCAAATACTCTAACTGTTGGACATTTAGTTATATCCTATCATTTGTTAGTATGTGCAATGTTTCAATGAATACTTCTGTTTACTTGCACTCAATATATACACAAACTAGATTTCTGAAAGTGACATTGTTTCATCAAAGGGCAAAGAGCATTTGGAATGTGAATAACGCTAAGCTCTCCTCCATAGGGACTGCACCATTTTGCACTGAATGGAAGCCCACTCCCCAAATTTTGACTTAATAGATAAAGGTTGGGCCTGAGCAGGTTCACCTTGCAAAAGCTAAGCAAACAGTATATCCCTTATTTAGAATCCCTATTTCACAATATATTCTTTGCCTTATTTACATTGCTCCAATCCAAAAGAAAATCTCCTTTAATCTCTGACATTCTTATTCCATAGCCACTTATTCCCTAAATACTTCCATATGCTATACACTGGGCATGCTAGACATCAAGAATAAAGACATAAACAGTACCTGTTGTCAGGAATCTTCAGGGCCTAACATCTAGAAACACGAGAGATATAATTATGAAGTAAGGTATAAGTATTAGAGCTAAAGATTTGCAAGGAGTATTACGGGGACACTGAAAAAGCTGGTGTTACCCTAACCAGAGTGCTGCAGTAGGACTGCTAAGGAGGTGCCCTGAGGAATGAAGGAAATAATGAGGCAGAAAGGTGAAGGGGGGCTGAAAACACTGCATGCGAAAGAAGGAAGAAAGGACCAAAAAAGATACATATGCATATATAATCAAAGACATTTTATGTTGTTAGAACATAAAATACAAGAGAAAAAGGAACAGGCTGCAAAGTAGCCAAAGATCAGATCACTGAACACTTAGTGTGTCACCTCAAAAACTTTGAACTTTATTCTGTAGGTACAGAAAGCCACTAAAGGGTTTTACAACTGAGAATGACATAGTCAGACTGCTGTTGTAGATTTAGGACAATCGACTAGAAGGACATAAAATGGAAAAATGAAAGAACAGTGAGAAGCAGGAGGATCGCAAGTTTGAGGCCAGACCATGCACCCCAACACAGCCCTGTCTCAAAATAAAGATCAAAAATGGTTGGGAATGTAGAGAGTGGAGCAGCAGTAGAGTACCCAGGGGATCTACTGCTAGTTCTGCAAAGGGGAGGTGGAGGTAGAGAGAGAAAGAGGAAAAATAAAGGAAGAAAAGAAGAATGAAAGGAAAGTGATATAGTAATCCAGTGAAAGTGTAAGTTAGGACAGAGGTTAAGTTGAGAATGGACAGAAGAAATCAAGGGAGAGAAAGCAAGGCAGACAGCAAATTCAGGGACAGACGTGAATGAAAGTTATGATTTCAAGGTGCTATCAAGCAACTAACAACAAAGCACTGGATTTAAACTATCTTTTTCCAGCAGCAGTAATAGGTTTATGGTGATTCTATCTTATCGTCTTGCCTGTTCTTGACATTTGTAAGGTCAGAATAGATGTATGGAGCTCAGCAAAACATAGAGGCAGAACTGGTGAGCTGATGCCATTAGCAGCACGATTTACCAACCGGTGAGGCAGCCACAGCAATACCAGTGGGCAAGCACACCCTGTGCGAGGCCATGTCTGATGCGCTCTCTCCCCTGCTAACTTCTCTGCACATGAGTCTTCTGCTTCCACCCTTCTGGGTCAGGGAAGTCAGTATCCTGGACAACCGCTAACCCTGCCAGTGACATCTAGCGCAGGCAAGGATGGGTATTTGACAGACAGCAGCATGAACAGCTGCTCTCCCTAAATTTAACTGATCCCAGCAAAGCTTTACAATAGTGCCATTTTGGCAACCTGGAATCCTGCCACCAAACAACAGCAACCTGTTGGCAGTGGAAACTGCGGGGACAAACCTGTTTTAAACTTTCCCACTCCTGACTTCCCAAACCTAATGGCCCTGTGGGGATGGAGCCGGCGCAGGTGGTGTGAAAGCCACACCAACCTTGGCATCTGTCTTTATTCTCAGAGTTCCTAAGAAGCAAACTAAAGAAAAACCACAAGCAAACCACCAATCATCAAAGAAAAGAAACCCACCACTTAAAAAGTCCAGGAATGAACTACACACAGAGACATATGAATGCATGCACACACACCCCAAAAATTCAAGGCTTACCTTTCTTTTATCTTCATCTGTTGATTCAAACTTGAAAGTAGCCCTATGCTGAGGGGAGAAAAAGGGAAACAACATCATTTTAAATACACAAACTTTACATTTTGGCTATGTTTAAAATACATCAAATAGTATCCTTATTAAAATGTTGCCCTTCACACCTCAATATTCTTATTAAAGAGATAAGCATGTAAGAAAATAATTATGAAGTTGTGTAAAAAGTATCACAGAAATATACTAAAAGCAGCATAGAGAACCACACCACCAAATGCCCAGGGAAACCTGGACTACTTTGCACAGAGCACTGGAGTCAGACCTTGACGGCAAACAGGAATTTGCAGAAACACAAGTGGAAGGCTTGCTTGGGGTAGAAACAAAGGTTCAAATGTGTGAGCCTGTGGCATACATTCCCCAGTGCAGCAGCTCTGAGACTGCAGCGTGGGCTACATGTTAGGATGTGGAGGTGTGGAAGAAGGTGAAAACAAAGAAGTAGTATGGACAGATTTAGAAGAGTCTTCTAGTGTGGCTGAGTTCATATTTTCCTTTTTTTTTTTTTGGCGGAACTGGGGATTGAACTCAGATCCTTGCGTTTGCCAGTCAAGCACTTATCCTACTGAGCCATCTCCCCAGCCCCATATATTTTCCTTTTTGTATGCAATAAGAAAGCATCTGGTAATTGCAGACAGGGAAAAGACTTGGAATCTTAGAAAAGTAATCTTGTAAGAATGGCAGTTTGAATCATGGCTCCATCACTTACTTACTAGCTGTGACCATTAGCAATCAGCTGTGCCTGGGCGTCTCATCTGAAACAGAGGGTAAGGACCTAGTTCACAGGGTAAGGCAAGGGTTCCAAGGACTAAGACCCACCAAATACCACCTCAGTGCCTGGCACACAGGAAATAGTAAATATCAGGGATTATGGAGATGATGCCAACTTTATGGAGGAAAATGTATTTGGAATGAAAATGTATTGTGATTTTCCTGAAAAGATTGACAACACTATATTTTATTTGTTTATTTATTTATTTATTTGGTACTGGGAATCAAACTCAGGACCTTGGTCTTGCCAGGCAGGCGTGGTGCCGCTGAACTATATCCCTGGACTGATAACATTGCATGTTTCATTTTGTAGCTGAAGTAGAGGAGAATGGAAGAGAGAATAAATTGGCCAGTCCACAAATAGAGTGGTGATACCCAAAACTTCTGGGTGATACCCAAAATTCTTTATTCTTTGCTCAAGTTTGAACCAGGGGACCAAGTGCTCTTCTCAATTCTCTCCTTTTACTTTCTCTCATTGGTAACACTGGCAAGTACTGGCAACACACCAGGAATTAAGCACACTAAGTTTTTTGTTTTGTTTTGTTTTTAATTTTAGGACAAGGTCTACAGGGTCTCACTATGTAGATCAGACTTGTAGTGATCCACCTGTATTCAGCCTTCCAACAGCTGGGATGACAGGCGCGCACCACCTGAGACGCATCTTTACCGCTGTCTCAGAGTAGCAAGGCATGCCGGGCATTGAACCCCAGCCTCTGTGTCTGCCTAAGCAGACGCTTTTACCCACTGAACTATTTGGCCAGCCCTACACTAAGTATTAAAGACAGTATCACTACAGGTTGTTCATTATTGGAAGCTTTGGAGAAGAAAGTTTGGAGATTAAATGAGATGGGGAAATGTTGGTAGAGAAGCAGTTTGGAGCATCAGAAATTGTTAGAAAAGGGTCATCTGACAAACCTTAGGCAGGCTGGTTTAGGAACAAATGTAAACCAATTAAAATGGATGAAATCAAGCGCAGGGATTTAAAAATTTATACCTGAAACTGCAGGTAGGGGATATGCCACCAGAGCATGAATTCTGTTCTGGAAGAATACCGTGGATAGCAGCTCAAAGGCCTGATCCAAGGAGAGTAAGACTGAGGACATATAGTCATCTGAGGAATGGGCATTCATAATCCAGGCATGATATTACTGGTGGCAGTATAGTGGTGAACTGACATAAGCCTTAAAAGGGAAAGTGACTTGATGACACATATTAGGAGCCATAAAAATATTTATCCCCTTTCACCCAGAACTGCTGCTCTTAGGAATTTATCCCAATGAAATCATCCAGAAGGACAGAAAAATTATGTATATAAGCACATTCACTGCAGTTATTGAATAGGATGGAAGAAAAAAGGAAGCTGAACATCAGCAAGACTGACAGAATATTGTGCAAATGATAGTCTATTAAACATACATTAACTCGACAAAAAGCTACAAAGCAACTAAACAAAGATGACTGACTGTAGGTATGTTATTTTTGTAATAAAAATTTTAAAAGATTGAATGAATGAAAGAATGAATGAACGAACGAACAAGAAATCAGGAAGGAAGGAGAGAGGAAGGAGATTTACAAAGCACATATTGTAAATCTAAGGCACGGGCATATAAATTTATAGTCCTGAAGTTTAGTAAAAATTACCATTAAAGATATAGAAGAACCAGACGTCAAGCTAAAGTTGTAAATGGAAGCTCAGTAAAGGTTTATATAAATGTAAATAAATAACTACTTAGAGACCACGAAAGGAGCCAGATAAACAGCTCAGCAGGATTAAAGCACCTGCTTAAGCAGACACAGGGGCAGGGCTTCAATCCCTGGCTGGCCCCGGCCGGCCTCGGGGTGTGCTGAGACAGGGACAGCTACTAAAACTGGGTGTGGTGGCACACGCCTGTAATCCCAGCACGTGGGAGGCTGAAAAACAAGAAGACAAACCTGATCTGTGTAGTGAGACCCTGTAGACCCTGTTCTAAATAGAAAGGAAAAAAGTTTATTTTTTCCTATTCTACATAAAATATCGATCTTGTACATTATCTAAAATACATGTGCCTAATGGCTTTCCTTAGCTTTGGGGGGACATTTACGGGAAGAAGACAGAAGAAAACAAACCAAGTAGGTTACAAAAATATCTTTTTAATAGTTCCTACATAGAAGTAATTTTTATATGAAAATTTAGAAGAGTACCAAGAGCTAACTTTTTGATTACTTTTTAAATGCAAGGCTGATTCTGTCATAAACCAAACTATTTTTAAATTTTGAAAAGCACAGTCTGACCAGTATGAGGGCTTAATTACAAAATATACTCTGTTGTGAGGCCCTACAAACTGAGTATAACAATCTATTCAAGAGCTCAGTCCTCTAAACCTCCTTGGATTTAGCAGGTGTTGGTTTATAGGGCTAACTTCTTTTTACTACTTAGATCGTATTCAGTACCATCAACCTTTATTTGCTCCTTTCCTAAAGGAGGCAACCTTGAGTTTGAGGCCAGGCCTGCTGCTTAGGAAGTGTAACCTTGGTCAAAGTATTCAACTTTACCTCCCTCCAGATTTTTCTTATCGTTATGCATGGCATCTTACACATGGTAGGTGTTCATTAAATAGCCACTACTGCTGTTACTACATGGCCTGTGTGTTATCTGACCAAATACTGACCTATTGAGAACTAGGAGCTATTCCAGTGATTTCTACAGATATACTCCAACACACCAGTATAAGGCAACACACCTGACTGGGTGGTGTGTAGTGCTGCACTCCAGAACAAAGATTACTTTAAGAACTAAAATCAGGTAACTGATTATATAACCAATCTGAAAATAAGAAGGAGATATAACAAAGGAACTGTCCACTAAACATGCTCCTCTGCACAAACCTAGGGTGAACTCAGGACTCAAGTTCCAAAAATCGAAAGTGCTGGGCACAGTGGACTCAGTTACCTCTAAGGTTCCTTCTAGTCAATATATCCCATGACCCGGACTCAGGGTGTAGCTCACCAACAGAACATATTCTGAGTACATATGAGGCCCTAGGTTCAATTCCTAGCACAAAAAAAAAAAAAAAAGAAAGAAAGAAAGAAAGAAAGAAAGAAAGAAAGAAAAGAAAGAGAAAAAGAAATACAAATCAAGTAATTCAGATACAGCTGTGTACCTCCAGGCCTTGATAACTAATTTTTGTTGATAATCGTGAGAGTGACAGCTGCCAGTCTACTAAAGCTAGTATCTGATGAGGCCCTGAAGGATAGCAAGAACTTAAAGAATCTAGACCAGAGCAATATTACTTCCCAAATGAACAGCGCATTCTGTAACTAACGTAAAGTAATTAAGGCTCAACAGTAGTTACAGCTTCTGAAAAACTTTCTCCTCTGTATGTGGAAACAGAACCAATGGGAAAAGGCACCATGGCCCTGCAAAGAGTAACTGTGCTACCTTCCAGCGATGTGCTCTCAAGCCCATATACAGTTTGTCCCTGACCTTAATCCTATTTTTAAAAAAGCAAAGAATTCTATCTCCATTATAACGTTTTTTCTTTTTGAGACAGGGTCTCACTATATAATTCAGGCCTTGAACTCACAGCAATCTTCCTGTCTCAACCTCCCAAATTCTGGGATTATAGGCCTGTGTCGACACACCCAGCTCTCCCCTAGAACCTTTAATATAAGAAGATTATATGTAATGATGTGAAAGTTCTTAAGACAATATATAGTGCACTTCGGGCTCTCAATAAATATTAACAGGTAAACTGGGAAGAGTGAAAAGCAATCACTTATTTAAAAACAAAACAAAAACTTTACTATTGAGTCAACTACATTGTACCCTGATGAATAGATACATTTCATTCTTTCTGGGATAGAAAGCTCTTTCCTCTCCTCAAGATAACATGGATAAGTGAATGAAGGAAAAACACTTGGAAATGAGCCTAACAACGCAAACACTTGGAAATGAGCCTAACAACATTGCTCTGAATGTGATGTAAGATATGCTACACTAATAAGTGCCAGGGTTTAAGGCAAATGGGAAATAACGGAAAACATTCCTGAATTTTTTACTTCTTTATGTTAACTTTGTGTCCATGGATGGTTTCTATCTTGTGGGTTACTTTGTCAGTGGCAGACAGTGTTCTAAATTTCATATACACCAAACATTTAATCCTGACAACCACAGGCTAGAAACAGGGTGTTATCCTCATTTGGCAGAGGAGAAAACTAAGGCACAGCAAAGTTAAATAATTTGTCCAGGGCCCCTCAGATCACCAACTGAGGATCAGCAACAATGTGGCCTAGCTCCAAATCAAGTTCTCTGGATGCCCAATCTGCAGAGTACCTCAGCCCCTACACTTCTAACTCACTGACTGACCACTTCCTAGGGTGCATGGTGCTCAACATCTGGTGTCACATTTCATTAATTTAATCCTCACAACAAGTTAATAAAATGGTTATCATCTCTAGCTTACTGAGACAACTGAGACTCAGAGGCTTAAAAATAATTTACCCACAGTGATGAAACTAACAGCAGAGCTAGAATTAAAAAGAGTACCCTTCTGCTTCCAAAAAATGAACAAATCACTCCTTCTCTCCATTATCCATTCCTTTTTTTGCTTGGGCTCCTCAATGCCTCACAATCATTTCTGAGTCCAAAATATCTCAACTCCATCTTACCAGATAAAGAAACACAAGGACATGGTATCCAGCTCTTGCTGCAGGGTTTCCAACTCCATGTACTGTACAGTTTAATCCCACTCCCCTATTCTTACTGCCTGACCACTGTTAGCATATTCCCTTTTCCTATTCATCTGCTCCAGAATCTCTCCCTTAGAGGGGCAAAAACCTCCCTGTGACATGAAGTTCAGCTATTTTCTTTGTACCTTATCGGGCCCTGTGGTGCGGGTTCTACTATAATCAGCAATAACATGCGAGCTTTTTTCTGAACATCAAGTTAGAACATTCCCATTCTTGGCTTGGCCGTAGAGTACAAGTGCCTGGGAATCCTTCAAAGCACGCTGGAATAGCACCTTACTACACAAGGGGCATAATTTCTTCAAGAACATTGCCAACAGGGAAAGGGGGAGCTGAAGAAGCACAGGACTTACGCTCTGGAAAAAACTGGTCAGGAATAGTCCCAGTAAACGGAAATCAAACTGGAGAGAGAGAGCAGGGAGAGGAAGGCACACATCTGAGAGGGCATATCTGGGGTCTGAGTAATTCAGCCATGAAGGAATAATTATGGAAGGAGATGGTTAAGATACGACTGGAGGCTGTTCCTCTCCATTCCCCTACACTGGCAGAAGAAAGATGCTATTTATTGCCAGGTATTTGGTGTATAATAAGTGCTAGATAAACATTAAGTATTTCAAATCCGAGTTGTCTACTATACTTCCTTCTTTTCAAATTAAGTTTGTAGCTACCTTACCTGTTATCTTTTCTTGGAAGCAGTGATAAATCACGTTAAAAAAATATAATCTACGCAACAGGCACACCTACACACTAAATGAATTTCTTCTAAACTAGGCAGACATGCTCAACAGTAAGGCCCATCAGAAAGTGAAAGGGCCATGAGATGAAGAGAGTACAGCCCATGTGTCCTCCCAAGGAAAGCAGTGAAAGTGCAGCAGACTGAGATTGGGACATCCTAGACTCAAATTTTAGCTCCACCTTTCACTGGTTGAAGGCAGCATAGTGACAGTTCAATAATCAAAGTACTGTACATGGAACACATACAGGGAGATGAGGACAGAGGCTAACGAAAGAAAGGTATCACATCTAAGCTCTGACTTGGTATAAGGTGTGTTTTCATAGAAAGGAGCAGCCAGTCATTCCTGTGAAATAGTCTTCTAAACAGATGAAAGGTGTGGTACCCGACCTTTTAAAACGAACATGTGAAGTTCCTGGGTTGACAAGTAATGGAGAGCTAACAGTTCCTGGACATCCAGAAAGGCGACTGGGGCTTCTAAGGAGCTACCACTTCACCATACAGTTACAAAGTGTAAAGAACAACGAATGGATAGTTCGAAGACTCGTCTGAAATCCTGGCTCCCAAATATGACCTTGGGCAAGTTACTTAACCCACTTGGAGTCTCAATTGCGAAACACAGATAATACCTCACAGGACTGTTGCTGAGATCAAATGGGACAATGACGAGGAAAGGTGTCAGCGCTACAGTCAGGATGATGAGGAGTTGGATTCTCTACCCTACTTACAACTCAGTATGTCCATGACCTTGGGCATCATTTCAGTTCTTTTTCTGCAACCTTGGTTTCCTCATCTATAAAATGGGAAGGCTGATACCATCTACTCTACAAACTCTCTGAGGAGCCAACAGTTAAGACAACGCTCTGAAAACTGAACAGTGGTACAGGTAGATACGGAGCTGCCATCGTTGCAGCTATGTTTTATGCATGTCAACGGACGTGTTTATGCAGACAGGCACGCACTTTTATGCTATACAGGTGAGGACGGCTCTCGCGTGCCTTTATGCGTCCAGGAGTGGGGCACAGACCCGGGGGCACATCTAAGGATTCTGGGGGTGTGACAGGCACGCCTGGGAAGAGGACCGCGGGACAGGTCGCTGGGCCGGGAACAGAGCAGTGGGCGCTACGGTGGGGGCAGGGGGACGCAGGATGCAACAGAGGCAAGCTGGGGCCACGAGCACGCATGCCCACGCCGGACACGTTTTCGGGGGAGAGCAGCGCGCATCCCCGGAATGCGAGGGGGTGGGGAGGGATGCGCGGGGCAAGCCCCGAAGGCGGCCCGGGTGCGACAGCGCGCGCCCGCGGCCGCAGCGCATTACCTTGTCGCTGTAGTCCCGCAGGACCCGCTCGATTGCGCCCGCCTCGCCGGCTCGGACGATGTAGAGGGCGCGCTCCTCGTCCATGGCCGCAGGTGCGGGAGCCGCGGCCGCTCGCGCGCCCGCCCGAGCGCTGCCTCCAGGTGAACGCCTCGCGCCCCCGCTCGCTCTCTCCTTCCCAGCTTCCTTCCTTCCCTCCTTCCCTCCCTCCCTCCCTCCGGGCTCCAGCCCGCCAGCCTCCGCCCGGCCGGCCAGACGTCACCGCCCCTCAACTTTCACCCCGAGACGTCACGGCTCCCGGCCGCCGGAGCTGGCGGCCGCCTGACTTCTGGAGGCCCAGAACGCGGGGCAGGCCCGCGAAGCGGCGTCAGACCTGCGGCCGCGAGTGCTTCCGTCCAGCTCCCGGCCTCGGAGAAGATAAGTCCAGTCTATATAGAGGGTTCTGCGGTACAGAGCGGTTCTCTCCTGACCCTCCTCTATGAATCATTCTCTTCAGCCGACGTGAGCCACCCGGCTCTGCCCCGCCCATTGGCTAGCTGGAGAGAGAGCGGACTACATCCCCCTATATGCAATGCGGCCTCTCTGAGCTGCCGCTCAACGGACGGGATGCCGAACGGCATGCCGGGATTGGTAGTCATCCAGCGAGACCTACTTCCCCGCAAGGCATGCTGGGAACTGTGGTCCCGCGAGAACAGACGCTGAGTCTGGGGACCCTCTGCGTCAGACAGACCTACAGAGAAGGGTCTTGGCGCTGATCTTCAGACAGTCCGCCGTCCTGCGCCAGGCTTGGTCAGTCCGACTGGCTGCGGGTGGTGAGAACGGCTTCCTTTGGTGGGAGCTGTCAAGCCTGGGGTTAACACGCTCGGGTCGCAGCTAGCGGTTCCGGTCTGAGACGTTGACACCTTCCTGCCTCGGCCACCGTGGAGTGCTCAGGGGGGCCGCGCTCTGGGTCCACGGGCAGCCAGGGTCCCGTGCTGGCGGAGCTTGCACTCTGGTTAGGGGTTCCCTAACAACCTCTGGTTACCGCAAAAGGAACCCAGCAGGCTAAGTATTTGGCCTACGTCCCAGGGCCGGTCAGTGGAGACGCGAGGCTGGAACCCGGGTCTTTCCCCGGAAGCAGCTGCAACCCAGCCCTCGTAAAAATCATCTTCCTGAGCAGCGGCAGAGGTGGCCGAGTGCCTCTTCACCGAGTGTGAGCTGTGTGCCGCGCTTTCGGCTGCACACTTCAGTGTTGTTTCAAGCAGTTTCTCACAAATGCATTCAACAAACACCTGCGCGCCTGTGCTGTGTCAGGCAGCAAGGGCAGGGTGGCTACGGGATACAGTGGGCCCAGAGGAAAGTTCCAATCCTCGTGGAGCTGCCTTTGCAGTGAGCAACTCTCTCATTTTTAAGATAAGAAAAAAAAGTCTCAAGTCATATCAAAATTGCAGATTTGGGGTTTTAAAAAGCTTTAGCGGTGATCACATTTGTCCTGGGAAATTGGCACGTGTACTAACACTTCTCATCCATTTTCCCTCTTCTCCTTCCTCTGTCCTCCCCGCTCCCTCCATCTTTTGGAAAATTGCAGATTTTGGCCAGCAAGATAGCTCAGCGGTCTAAAGCACCTGCTTAGGCAAGTGTGCAGGGACTGAGGTTCAATCCCCTTCACATCACACGTGACACCAACCCTGCCCCCAGGGCAGGCTGAGCTGGCCAAAGAAAATTGCAGCTTTTGGAAACAGTGAGCCTATGCTCTTGCTCCCTTGCTCTTCAGTAGAGAGCCGATGAAGTCTCCTGATAATGTCCACGGTTTCCACTTCATCTGTGATGCCTCTCCTGCCACCTCTCCCTCTGGAGCTGTGCAGAAGGGGAACAAAAGCTGTTCACTTGATAACTGAGCGTCTTCTGTACTGGGTACACTAAGTATTGTGAAGACATTGGAAATTTGGAGACAAAAACAAACATGGAAACTGAGCCCATGAAACTTGGGTTTTCTATGAATTATGGTTTTCATGAAGCAAATTAGTCACTTGGAGGGTGTATTAGCTTTCTCTTACTGTGACATGATGCCTGAGATGATGAGAGATTTTTTTGGCTTATGGTTTGAGAGGTTTCAGAGACTGGGCGTGGTGGCACGCGCCTGTAATCCCAGCTCTTGGCTGTAAACAGGCAGATCACTATAGGTCCAATCTAGTAGTGAGACCCTGAACACCCTGTAGACCCTTCATATAT